TTTTTCAGCTCAATTCAATATGAGTAACTGGTTCAACTTGGTTTCTGCTCATTAAAGAGCAGTTGGAAGGAAATGGTTAATCATTGTTTGCCATCTGCTGTAGAAAATCCACACTATACAGAAACATTTTTGCAGCCAATCTAAAACCACAATGCACAAAGAGAGCAAAAGGAAAATACTGTTTTCAGCTATATATTTTTCTCAGTGCATGCTAAAATTGTAAATATTTTGTGGTTAACCCTCTCTCACTCTTTGACAGCACTTTCCTGTGGACAGTGGTCTCTGTGGTACATACCACATCATTTAGCAGTCCCTATAAAGGTACAGCAATAGTGCTATGGAGAAGCGTTAGTGGTCTGCTTCATAACAACTTAATCATGGAGAGCTAACCTATGAAACCATAAGGCCATCTTTCAGAAGGTCAGAAGGCCACAGGCCAATGCCACCTGTGAACTTCGCTGTAATCCAGAAAAATATTATCAACATTAGTAGTTTCAGCTTTTTTCCCCCATTTTTCTTCACATGTAAATAATAAACCATTTCCTAGCCCATAGGCCCTTTCTAGCATTTCACTCATTTCTGCAATTGTCCCAGGAAGGCTCTGAATTCTCTAAATCTCTCCAGGCTGTTTTTTCAAAACCAGCTCTAAGTTTTTCTAAACATAAATTCTAGGACTTAAAATTATCAAGCCAAGAAAATGCAAAAGATGCTGCCTTCTCAAAGAGAAAGAGAAATGAAAGAGGAAGATTGGTGACTATTCACGCTATTTTCTGGCTCATCTTCCACATCTGGTAGTACTGACTGGGGCTGTGTCATAATTAGAGAGGGAAGTAAGTTGCTATTTTTGGATTGTTTTTTAATCCACAATCTTCCACAAAAATTGTATTTGTTTTAAAATGAAGAAAAAGACATGTGAACGACGTAGAAAATATTCCACTTAAAAACAGAAAGATTGCTGGAAAAAGGCAGTTCATAAAGTTTTATTAAAATACTCATTGCTAATAGGTGGCAAAAATATCAGAAGAAATGCTAAGAGTAAGAAAATCAATACTGCCAAACCCATTCTTCTATCAAAGATCTAGCACTAGTGGCCATAATTCAGGTTATTGAAGTCTTCTTTCAAGATTGATTAAAGTTCATTTCAGCAATATCAGCAGGGATGCCTGGCTCCAATGATCTTAATACTGAGAGTGCTAAAGCCTGCAGTTTTCTAGTAGAAAACAAAAGCTTGTTCCTCTAGGCCTTATTGCAAATACAGAACTCACAGCATATCCAAAGACCTGTCAGTCAAAATATTTTTCCTTTAAAAAAATCTCATAAAAAGAACACTGAGAAATAATCCCTCCAACTTCCTTCTTTTGCAAGCCATAAACTTTAATCATCCTCCTCCTCTTTGCAGATCTCTGAGGTATGTAACTGGGAAGACTTATTACACATTTCTGAAACCTGCAAATAGCTTCTAATCTGGGACAACTTGTACCACCAGAGATCTTAAAAGAGGGTAATCCAGTAAGCCTTTGGAGACTTTAGCGTTCACAACCCAGTGCTGTCTAATATGCACTGGGGGGATTGCCAGAGAGTGATGTTAGAAGTCCCCCTCTATCAGAGCCTGTAGCAAGAGAAAGAAAGATTTAATGAGAACAGTGCACAGTAGTGCACTGTTTGTAGTAGTGCACAGTTTTCCAAGAACTCAGAAAAAGATATTTTCAAATCAAAGAGTAAAATGGAATACAGAAAGGTTCTCTGGATATTCAAAGAGTTGGATTCATTTCACAACTGTATAACAGATTTTCAAGATTTTCTTTGTCTTCTTATACAAGTATTTTCAGAAAAGTAAGTTCAGTTCTCTTGGGTTTTTCATGTACTATAGTAACTAGTCAGACAGGCAAACTACAACCCTGCTTATTTCCCTGAGCTGATCCATGCTGAATGATTTTAAGTATCACTGTCAAGGCTATATGTCTTGAAATATTCACATCTGTGTTTCACTTCCACACCTGCAAACTATTATGTCCCTACCTTTATGAATTGAGGAGTACAAATTTATAATGTCCACGAACCAGCTTTGAGAATCTTTGGTGGTAAAGTCACACTGGTATGTATATTGATAGATGGAATCTGTTTCTTGGGGACTCAATCCTACAACTGTTTTCAGTAAGAAGGGAACTGTAATTCTACAAATCCCCAGAACATGATCAGGAGATGTCACAGGTGTCAGTAAGACAGGCTGCTCTAAACTGCAGGGAGTCTGGCTTTTGAGCCAGTCCCAGGAATGAGGAAGGTACTTTTCATACCTTTCTTTACGTGAGTAAAGTGTCCTCTCTCAGATGTATCTGCGCTGATTTCAACTGCTCACTGTGCATGTTATTATTATACTGTATCTTATTACAAAGCGGAGGTATTTAGATAAAGATCTGACTTCCCTTTCTAAGCACAGCAATGCTCTTTTACAGTCACACAGTACTCATCAATTCAGATTCTGGTTTTTAGAGATTAAGACTATATATATATATGGACATCTCAAACCTACCTACAAACTCCTAAAGAAGTCTTAAAATTCCCTGCATCTACTCATTAAAGTCTCAAGATCGTTTAAAATTTAACTAAAAGATTTGAGATTGGATGCTTTAGGAATAGTGGATCAATTCTCAAGACCAAAGTTCTAGCACTCCAAATCACCCTAGGTGTTTAAAAGTAGCATTCTGTCAGATGGAACACAGCTTTTCTTGAATGTGTTTCTCCAGAGCTGTTCAGAAACACTTCAATTCACTGCCCATAATGGTGAGACTGGCATAATTTATGACCTGAAACACCAGCAAAATTATCTCATTCATCCCTCAGCTGGACCCAGCAGAAGCTGCAAGTCAAAGGCCACACCAACAGGAATTTGATACCAACTGACATTATACAGCCATTTTTTTCTAGGAAATTCTTCTTTTTATAAGTTTGATTAAAAAGATCCATCAGGAAGACACATCAACAGCTTTCTACCGACATGTATATAAGTAAAGCACATTATTAATACTAAAATATCATCTCTAAGCCAGCAGGAATCAGGCACAATAAAACATAAGGTATGCTCAAGTATACACAATCTTAATCTATGACAAGACACAGCTATATAGGGCTGCACTCTTGTAGACATAACAAAAGACATAGAAGAAGTCCATACTCTGTTTTATTCTTCTGGATAGATCCGTGTCTTTGGTTGAGGATTATATATCTTTATATATGTTTTCCATTAATATTAACAACCATTTTTGTAGCACTCGACATTTTACCTGTTCTGTCTACATCACTACATCAACATTTATTTATCTATCAGTGATATCATTCCATCAAGATTTAATAGCTATTTTCTACAGTTCAAGCATGTTAACACTTGCTTTCACCTATGGTACAGCTCATCCTTCTCCTTTTAAAATTCTAATGATGTATAAAACAAAGTACCCTTATACAGCATGACTCAGAAATGCATTATATTCCTTTCTTCAACTAATGGTAAAGGAAATGAGTACAAAACAAAGGCAGAAGAGTTCTCTATTCTCATGTATAGTTTTATACTGAAATCCTGAGTGTCAAATGAACATGGCTTTTAGGAAAGTGTCAGCAACTGTAAGAGTTACATAAGATAGAGATAGAAAAATATTTTGCAAAGAAAAATGACAGTCACTTGAGAAGATGATTTATACTTCAGTTTCAGTACGCCAACAGCCAACATGTGACCTGACATTTGCTAAAGAAATCAAATAGACATTCAGCAAGATTACAAAAGCAAAAGCATTAATTGTTCCATACAAGCAGTTCCTCTTTGTACTAGAGTAAGATCTAGAACACTATGAAAAAAAAAAGAAAAAAAGGTCACAGTAACAGGTCTTCCTGTGCATTTTGTTTTAACTTAATTTATGAAAGCCAAGTTATGTTGTTTATGCTGGCCCTTTTGCATCATGTGTCATATTCTTTATGGACAAGAAAGATTGGCAATTCACATTCCCTGTGTGTTTTAAGTTACTTTGCATGAGAATTTGACTGCTAAAGCAGTGCACAAGGAATGCATGGGTGTTGACATACACATTCCACACCTGACTGAATATGACAAAAAGGACAACAAATGCAAGGATGTCCAAATAAGGAAGATGAGCTGGTTGGTGAGGTGAACTGGCTTAGATTGTGAGCTCTGTTATATACTTCCTGTATGATCTGAAATGATTTCATGAGCCCCTGGGGCTCTGTTTTATCACTTTTTAAATTGAGATCATAATTCCCTTTCTCACACTGAAAGGCTTAATCATTAATAGGTTCAATTCAATGCTGGGCAGATAATCAATACAAATTTTATGCGTGACTGAAGAACCATTTAACCTCAGATCTTAAGTGGCATATAGCCTTGTGTCAGCCTCTTAGCAGCCACTGCATAAATATTATATATGCACATTACTGAGAGTATTTGAGGGACATGAGTTGTCAGCAGTACTGATATTGCATTCCTCAAGTTACAAATCTGCAGAAAAACAAACTTAAGAGAACATGTCCTTTAAATACAGAGCAAAACAAGAACTAGCACATTTATTTGTAATGGTTATACATGACAAAGAAAAGAGAAAGTGGTATAACTTGTGCACTGAATGTTCAAGTGCAATGATTTAAATGAATTCATGAAATGATTATCTTAAAGGCTCAGAAATCAACAGTGTCTGGGAGGATTTCATTTTGGTGTTGGGAGAAGCAGTGTTTTTACTGACTTCTCCCAAGAACACAGCTCATGAATGTGATCATCATTTACTTCTAGAAATACAGCTACAATTCAACACAGTAATGACTTTTAAGATGTATCTTGATACTTATAAAGATATATACTTACTCTGGCAATCAAACAGAAGAAAAAGTTCTTTTCAGAACACCTTTCCCTAGGACTATTTTTAAAGCTTATTGCCAGAATTTATCTATCATGAAGACCTCTACACCAGCAAGAAATTCTGCACTGTGATTGTCATAGATACCTTGTCATTTTCTTTGCATAGATGACCAATTTTCACTTCTTTCCTCTTCTAACTTCATTAGTTCATCTTGTAACTTGGCTCCCCCTAGGTCATTTCTCTTTTTCAAAAAGGAAAGGAGAAAAAAACTGTAAAACATTTCCACTATCATTATGAGGGAAGAAAGTGAGCAATGGACATACAGACACTAAATGCAGTTCTTCCAAAGAGTTCTGTTTACAAGGAGTTTGCTTCAGTATATAGGCAGTAACCCACTTTACACTTATTTTGAAAGCCCTGATCAAAGGTAAGAGGGGCATTAATGGTACTTTACAGTCAGGGAAACACTGACTTAAAATTACTGAGACTATTCAATTTAGTTGCTACTAACCTTGAAAGCTTCAAGTAAAAAAGTCTCCTCTACTTCCACAGCTAAACAATTTTAAAGTAGTTACCAGATATTTTTTTTTTTACTTTTACTCCTAAATATTGGAATTACATGCAGTCCTTTAAAATTAGTATGACTAGTGGTAGTAGAAAAGTTAACTGTGCTTTGACTAATCAATCAGGAAAAGATATCAATACATCAGGTCTAAATTATTCATAACATGTAGTAGTCAGCAGCTTAGTCTCTCTGCAGCCAGCGATACTAATAATTTTTTGGATAGTAAATGTGTATCATTAATACCTTTACAAATGGATGGTAATCAGACTTCAATATAGACACCACTGATTGCACACAGAAATATATACAGCATGGTGAAATAACAATCTTTGTTTTCTTGCCTTGTGATCATTTTAGGACCACGACATGACACTAGATAAATTATTCCAGGTCATCCCAAAGAAGTGATGTTCTCTGCCAGTTCATCAACCTACTCATTTATTCATTCTCACTCAATTCACTTATTACTGATTTCTATTTTCTCCAGCTAATTCTGCTGCTTTTTTGACGAAAGGTTACTCTTTTCCACAATGTCCTTAGCATTTGTATACATAGAACCCAGCAAATCTCCTTGACACACTAACTTTGTCCAATAAGAGTCACCAATGCTTACCCACGGTTCATTCCAACCCTTTTGTTTTTCTGAAAATATGAACTGTGTTAATGCTATGTTTCTATAAACTATTTGTCTTGTTTTGCATTATGTACCAAGCTAATTTTCTATTTTTTTCAACCTCTTTCATTATTGGTCTCTCATGCCACAATTTACCCTTATACCATTCCCACACTTTTCTTAGGTAAGATTTTTCTCTCTTTTACTGTTGTTTCCATAACTCACCTTAGAACTAAAACATTCAGGCTTATTTTTCTCAAAGTCTTAGCAATTCTTTATTTTTCTTTTGTGGTCAGAGATCAGCACCTCTTCTTCTACTTGTCCAGTGACATAATACTTTGTTCTCTATGTAACTTATTCTGAAATGTGCTAGTTCATCTTGCGCCATTCTGCACAGCTGAAAGAAGAAAAATGCATGTATATATTTTTCCTTAAAATAGAGCACAGGTACTATACAAAATGTACATGAAAATAATCCTTAGCTTCAGTCATAAATGTGGCAAATGGGATCCCACCAGCAGAAAACAGTCCAGACACAAGATGGGACAGAAATTCTGCTGGTAAAGAAACTCTTCAAACTTGACTGCCTTAAATTGTACGAAGAATATGTGCTGACACAGTACCATATTGAGATTTTATAGACATGTTTTTCAGACTATTCCATTATTACACTAGGCTACAATCCTGCAGATGTTTAGATATGACAAACTTCAGTCATACCAGTATTTGTATTATTGGGCCTTAAATTCCTTCTCCAGAGAGTTAAGGAGAAACCTCCTCACTCTTAGATTCATAATAGAAGAGTGGCAGTTGTTAGGTATTGCTCTTGTTGAAGCATGAGAATGTACTACAAGAAATATTAAACTTCTGTCTCTTTTCTGATAAAGCATTGTGCCCATGCTTCAAACCCTTCAAAGTCTTACTTAAATACGCAATTCAAATTAAACAGGTCTACATTTTGTTTTGAATTGGGCTATTATCAGACATCATTTGAAGGTCATTGGGATAAGCCATCCTTTTTAACAGATCTGAGCTTCTGAATTCCCTGCTGTGCACAAACTTAGACATTTCCTGGCTTTTTGTTTTTACTTTCTTGTTATGTGTTTAAATCCACATTTAAAAAACGTCTGGGGCAATTTATCAACTTGGTCACAGAGCTACTTCTACTAGTAGCTTATAAAAAGAAAAAAAAAGACCAAGGTGCTGAGGGGAAGGGGTTGTGCACAATCTGAAATACTGGTAATTTGACAGCTACGATATAAAAAACAGATTTTTCTTTTTCTTTTCTTTTCTTTTCTTTTCTTTTCTTTTCTTTTCTTTTCTTTTCTTTTCTTTTCTTTTCTTTTCTTTTCTTTTCTTTTCTTTTCTTTTCTTTTCTTTTCTTTTCTTTTCTTTTTTCTTTTTCTTTTTCTTTTTCTTTTCTTTACTTGCAAGGTTAATCCATGTTTTTTTACAAATTCCTGACGTATGCAACAAGATGTACAGCAAAGAGGAAGAATAAAATATCACGCATATTCAATATAACATGCAAATGAAACCTCATTGTGGCCATTTAATGTAGTGAATTAGCAAATGAAAGATGGCTGGTTTGTTCACGACACTCTGGACCAGCAATCCTACACTCAGAACAGGAATCCAGCAAAGCACAAACCTGAAGTACCAAACCACCACTGGATACCTGTAAGCATCGTGGAGAGTGCCGAGGCTTCAAAATAAACTTATTTCCTTGATCCTAATGAGATATTTCTTTTTAAAGTCTACTTTAGGAATATACGTATTTTAAAACAGAAGAGGAAAATTCTCTGGTTTGGGAGCATAACTAGTCCATTTCAACAGAAAGAAACATGTAGACATGCTAGCAGAACAACACTCAGCTCCTCCTATTTAGTTCATGGTTTTATTTATGTTATTTTTTACTAATAATGATAGCTATGCAATGCAGAATGGCAATAAGCCGTATAACTAACAGATACTGTACACCAAAGCAGTAAAGACAAAATTCACTGTGCAACACTAGAAGATGTTCACTTCAAGGAGAGAAAGCTTGCTATCCTTGTATTTGATTAAGCAAATGAACACAGCTCACAAGATGGACCAAAACCTTATTGCTATTTCTTTTCAACTCCTTAAAGTATAGATTGCAAGCATTTTTTTTGGAAGATTTGCCACCAAATGTTTCAATTTACATTATCTCTCAGCTGGTCTTTAGAAATCAGAAAACCACTGGCTCCACTTTCACTTGCATTATTTCCTTCACGTTGTAGAACAATAGTAGGCAGCAATTTAAGTAAGCCCTAAGTAGGCTATTGCACTTTCACAACTTCTACAGGTTCTTCCACCAGTACTGGTCAGACTACAGTCTTATCTTTTTCCCATATTCAAAGTTCCCTGTGCATGCTATCTGATTTCTGGACTGAAAATATTACATATTCTTAATTAGAAAATGCTGAGATCTGATACAAGTGTACAAAGAATTAGAAGTACATTTCTGAGTAGATCTCTTCAGGGAAATATTTTCTTTCAGAAATATGCTGACATAGCCTATAGCACCTAGATTTCAATAATCTAATAAAGCACATGAAATTTCCAGTCACATTTATATTGACAGCATTCCCATAGAAAAACTCTCACTTCAAATAATGAAAAGAAGTTCCTGAACTTACCCAAATAATAGCACTCAAGTAAAACAATCACAATACTTGATCCCGTTCCACAGGAACTAAAGTATCAGTTCACTGAGACATACTATTAAAACCTAATCACAATAGGAAGTACATATCAGTATTATGAATTATAAAGATGCTACTCCTACTATCAAGACCAGACTGGAGTTTACTTCCTCTAAAATTTTTTAGTAATACTTGTAATATTTAGGTAGGATTCTGAACAAAAAGTTGCTTACATTCAAAATGGTCCTCGAACCAAAACCTACTAAAAACAAACCCTACTAAAACGCAGCAGACAATGCTCAAGTGGGATCTCCATGATATGGCATCACTGGTCTCATTTTAGGAAAGTGCTGATCTAGACTGCCAGACTTGCTAGAGCTTTTGCTCTAGTCCAGGCTGGTAATTCTTAAGTTCTTAGGATTTTTAACTGAGGAGACTGTGCTGTCAAGTTGTGGCAAAAAGATAGGCAATATGCCTATCAAAATGGCTAGGCTGTAATAATTTACAGTCAAACGCTGCAATAGAATACAAGCAAGAAGACCATCACTGCAGATGGGGAAGTGCTAGAACTGAAGTCCAGTTAATTCAGATCCTGAAAGTGCCTCTACAATTCCCTGTGGAGCACATTCCACAGCAGAAATTGTTAGCCATTGATAGCTCCTAGTTCTAAGATTCGTATCTCACTGAAATTTTGCATGGAAAAGGCTTTGGCAATAAAAATAAAGTGCAGAGACATCATCAAGAGCACCTTGTAAAAAGAACTGTGAAACCTGTAATGGCACATGTGTCCTGTTACAGAAATGTGGCCCCATACACTGGAACCACACCACCACCAGGAGGGTGTCCTTGTGACCAGCCTGAGTACAGCCAGAAGTACCTTGTGGCTTTGGAGTGACAGCACCAGAGCACCATCCCTTGTGGGATCTCTGGCTTTGCTGGGGGGACCACTAGGCCTTCACTGAGAGCTATGTGAAGCAAACTTACTGCTCCTTTATGCCAAACATGGCAAATGCCTGTCAGAGGTACTGATATGAATGGTTCTCCATGCATTGGTCATGAAAACCAAGCCAAAAAGAACACAGCTCGTGAGTTTGCTAAGAATTTGCTCCTGTGGTGAATCAGTAAATGCAGTAGTTGTATCTGATACTGCTTTGATGCTTTTTTTTTTTTTTTTTTTTTTTTTTTTTTTGTCATTAACAAAGAATATGTGTAACTTCTTGAGCGAAACCCCTGTTCTGGAATGTGTTGAACAAATATTTTATAAAAGAGGAAAAGTTCGGCTTAGAGTAATTTTGCTGTCAAGCGATTTCTTAGAACTCAGAGCCAAAACAGGTAACAGCCCTAAGGAAGTGCTGTACTGCTTAAAAGAGCTTAAGAGTCACACTGCACACTTTGCACTGGGGCTTGAGGACAAGGATGGAAGCAGAGTTTTGCCAGTCAAATAAAGATTTCCCACATGTTTGTCAACGCAATTTCCTTCATCAAAACCCGATAAAGGAGCAGTTAAAGAAATGCATACTTAATGAGGCTGCATGCTAATGAGGTTACTTCTATATTACAGAGTTGGGATTAGCCAGTTAATTTTTCAAACTATCTAACTTGGAAAATAGCGTTTGGCAAAGTCTCCTGACATCTGCCACAACTTTATTTAGCCTCCTGCATTCCCTGGAGGTACTGCATATGAGCTGCTCTGCAGTACGCACTAGAGCAACTGCAGACAGAAGGGAATGTAGACAGACATGCAAAGTGTTTAAAATAGGAAACACAGGCTCTGTGCTGGGGGCTAGCATAACAGGTGTATATATATTGGGAGCTTATATTAATGAGGCTTCTGTTACACATGCACAGGGCTGCCGGCAGCCCTTTCAGAAGTAGCTGGGTATTTTGGTAAAAGTCAGACAGAGTAACCTCGTAGTAACCTCCAGTCTGGCTCACAGCCACTAGGGAGGCTTCTGAAGGACTGTCCCTTGGTGGTGCATTGATTAGATTTCTTCCCATAATACATCCAGTGTTTCTGCTCAGCAAACCTTACTGACAATTGAATCAAGAATAAAGAGTGAGGGGGGGAATAAAAGCTGATCTCCACGTGAAAGTGGGCCATAAAATTAACAAGGTTCTCAACATCAAATAATTCTATCTGCTTTCTTGTGGTCAGAAAATCAGTCTGTAAAATAAAAAAGCAAGCACTGAAGGAAGAAAAACAAACTGAAAAAAATCAGAATTCATGCAACGTCAAAGTCAAGTACTTAAACATACAAAACACAAGAAATCTAAAAGCTTAACTTCTCCTAGTGACATTTAAATATTTCCTTACCCACATACTGCACATGCATCACTTCTGTATACCAGTTATGCTGTAAAATGTACATCTTCAACAGTCTTTCATGGTGCTGTGGAAATGCTAATATAAACATTTCTTAATTTCTGTGTCTTGCAGCATCAACAGTGCACAGAGAAAGCACCTTCGTCAAAACAAACAAAAAGGCCACACATGCTTGAATAAAATGTGCATGATTAACCGGGACATAGCAAGTCTGCAGCAGAGTTCTTTCTCTTCTAAGAATATTGGTTCATATAGACAGTAGGGCATGATATTTCTTCCCACCTAGAACTCTCTAATTAAGCTGCTGGATGCAAGAAGTACACAGTCGTCTGTGCTGACTTACTTCAGTGAAAGCGCTGAGCCTGTCCGGCAGGACACGTTTTGAATTCACAATACTTTAATTAC